AGGCTCATGTCCACCTAGCTGCGGGGTCACAGGCTACTCAATAAAGTCTGGCACTGTCTTCCATCTCCCTTCATGCTGTGGAGGTGGAACCCAGGGTCAGAAGAGTGTGAATGGATTAGGTGGGGAGGGGGGCTAGGGGTAGGGGTGGAGACAGCGCTCCCCCGAGTGCGGGCCTTACCACATGGCTGGTGCTGGAGTGGCTGAAGGCTCCATGGCATGTCCTCTATGCACTGCCCCACCTCCAGGGAGGAGCTGGCACTGCTGTTGGCCAGTGGTGTCATGGCCAGCTGCGCCTTGTCGTGGGAGCTGGGGCTGCAAAGCTGGTATGGCAGGAGCTGGCCCAGGCTCCCTGAGCTGTTGGTGGGGGGTGCAGCCAGTGAGCTCAGTGGAATGAGCTGCTGGATGTCTGAGGGGCCCTCCCCAGTGACACATCATCATGCATGCCAAACCAGGGCAGGGGCTTGGGCAGTCCACTTGTACTGCTATAGACAGCACAGCTGCAGCCTGGGTCCCAGGGTGTGAGGATGTCTGTCAATTGCCACATACAGGAGTGATGTATGGGCGGTTGCATATGCAACCCCTGAGAGTGCCAGTTCATCCCCTGCCAGGCCGTGCAGGCAGGGGGGCAGGCAGGAGCACCAGTGCCCACCCTGTGAGTGCCCACTGGGAAGCGGGGCTACCAGCAAAAGTGGCTGCGCTGCTTCTGGAAGTGATTGCGGGACTTCCAGAAGAGGCACGGCCATTTTTACAGTGAGTTAGATTGGCTGCGGGGATCCCCACCCCAGTCAGCAGGATCGGCCACTGGAGGACTCCTCCTCCGGCTGCTGACTGGTGTGGGGGGGGCAGGTATCTCCCTGACTCAAGAGGCACCAGACACCCATAGCTACATAAAGGCATGGACTTATGGGCACTCCCCAACCAATGTTTGTGGTCGGTGATGGTGAACCACTGTGCCTGCAAAGCCCTGACTTTTATGTGGCACTGACACACTGACTGGTTGTGCCTGTGCTTCCGCATCCAGACTGACAGTGCCTCATAGACATGGATGTTGGAGCACCCACCCCCCTCAAACTGCTGCTGCACCTCTGACTTGCCTGACAGTGCCATGAGGTCATCAGTCTCCTCCACAGATCAGTTGGGGCCCCCATGGTGGGCACAGGTGTAGGCATGGCCACGGAGGAGGAGGAAACCATTGTGGGACCCATGCAGCTATTCCTCGGCTGCCAGGCCTGGACAGCTGCCTGTAGCACCCAGTGCAGGGGCCTGACATAGTACTGGCAGCAGTATGGCAAAGGAAATGCTCCATAGCACCTGAAGGCTCAGGATAGCCTGCTGAGGGTGGGCTGCAAGCAGGAGAAGCTGGCTCTGGCATCCAGAAGCTGCCTACAGTTGCGCCTGGGTGCTGGCAGGCTTGGCTAAAATCTGCCATAGCCTGGAGCAGCTTGGAAGCCCGAATAGCGCAGGCCTGGCAGACACGCAGCAGTGTGGTGCCAGGCAGCAGCACTGAGATGCAGGCAGGCTAAGGCAGCTGGCCTGCAGCCTGCCCAGGGAGGCACAGTGACCTGCAGTACCCTCAGGCTCCCTGCTAGTGTGCCTCAGGGCTCAAAATGTCTGCAGGCTTTTATAGGACTGAGGCAGAGGATGCCATAGAGGCAGCCCAGCCCTGGAATAGGAGAGGTTCCCAGCTTGGAGCCCTGCAGCTAGCCTCAGGCCAGCCCCCTAGTGGCAGGGCTGACCTGGAAGCAAACTTGTTCCTGGGTCATATCTACATATGCAAAATCACACAGTAGCTAATCTCACATAAATTTGCTACCTGCATTTGCTCAGGTTTAAATGTTTTTACTGTGCAGTAAGCATGCACGCATGTAGATGCACATGCTTACTGTGCAGCAAACTATGCCAGTTGTTGTCAGCTGGGGGTACACATACCCCTAGGGGTACTTAAAAAGGTCATAAGGGGTACACAGAAAGAATGAGAAAAAATTAGAGACACACTGATACATTGGTCCATACTGGATTGGCATCGATATAAGGAAAATTGACTATCAGCAATTGGCTTTTTTGGTTGATATGGCTGATAACGTGACCAATAAATGCCGCATGTGTGCAGCCTCAGTGCAGCATGCAGGCAGCCAGGAGTGCAGGACAGCAGCATGGAGAGAAGCTGGGTCTGGCTGGTAAATCTGTTGTGAGGGAAGGATCATGGGGACAGATTGAGACCCCAGCGGTAGGGGAGGGAGTGGGGCTGGGGGAGGGGCAGGG